AATAGATTCCGATCGACTCAGACCGACTCAGAACGACTCAAACTGACTCAGACCGACTCAACCGACTCAAATCGATTCCGATCGACTCAGACAGACTCAGAACGACTCAGGCAGACTCAAACCGACTCAGGCAGACTCAAACTGACTCAGACCGACTCAAACTGACTCAGACCGACTCAACCGACTCAAATCGATTCCGATCGACTCAGAACGACTCCAACTGACTCAGACCGACTCAACCGTTTCAAATCGATTCCGATCGACGCAGACAGACTCAGAACGACTCAGGCAAACTCAAACCGACTCAGGCAGACTCAAACTGACTCTGAGTCGGTTGAGTCGGTTTGAATCCGCCTGAGTCTGCCTGAGTCGTTCTGAGTCTTTCTGAGTCGCTCGGAATCGATCTGAATCAGTCTGAGTCTGCCTGAGTCGGTTTGAGTCTGCCTGAGTCTATCTGAATCGGCCCGAGTCTGCCTGAGTCGGTTTGAGTCTGCCTGAGTCGTTCTGAGTCTGTCTGAGTCGCTCGGAATCGATTTTAGTCAGTTTGAGTCTGCCTGAGTCGTTCTGAGTCTGTCTGAGTCGCTCGGAATCGATTTTGGTCGGTTTGAGTCTGCCTGGGTCGCTCTGAGTCTGTCTGAGTCTGCCTGAGTCGCTCGGAATCAATTTGAGTCGGTTTGAGTCCGCCTGAGTCGTTCTGAGTTGGTCTGAGTCGATCGGAATCGATTTGAGTCGGTTGAGTCGGTCTGAGTCAGTTTGAGTCGGTCTGAGTCAGTTTGAGTCGTTCTGAGTCGGTCGAGTCAGTTTGAGTCGTTCTGAGTCGGTCGAGTCAGTTTGAGTCTGCCTGAGTCGGTTTGAGTCTGCCTGAGTCGTTCTGAGTCTGTCTGAGTCGATCGGAATCTATTTGAGTCGGTTGAGTCGTTCTGAGTCGGTCTGAGTCGATCGGAATCGATTTGAGTCGGTTGAGTCGGTCTGAGTCAGTTTGGGTCGTTCTGAGTCGATCTGAGTCGATCGGAATCGATTTGAGTGGGTTGAGTCGGTCTGAGTCAGTTTGAGTCTGCCTGAGTCGTTCTGAGTCTATGGGTTTGTTCCCGTCGCTCCTCTAACCTCCTCTAAGCTCCTCTAACCTCCTCTCGTTTCAAAAAATCGTTCCCGTCGCTCCTCCAAGCTCCTCCAAGCTCATCTTCATTTCACATCTCACCACCACTATTTGCCTCCTCCCTCATCCCAAACGAAAGTTGTTTTTTTGGAGGAGGCTCTTGCGTAGACATATTTGGCGCACGTAATACAAATGTGAATTGTTTATAAATGAGATTTGAGGGAAGTGGAAATGATTTTAGTGATTGATGACGATAGGATATCTTTAAATAGTAATGTTTGATATTAATCTAAGGTTATTTTATTAGGAAGCGATTATAATCTCTTGATTTATGTTTGCGCGCCATAAATCGCCGACCGTTACAGCCCGCAAACAGCTGATTTCCTCGCAAAAATGTTCCCGTGGCTCCTCTGAAACGGCTCTCCTCCAAGCTCATCCAACCTCATCCGAGATTTTTTGGGAGGAGCGACGGGAACAGACCCTATCTGAGTCCAGTCGATACCTACTGATAGCGTGGTACGTTCTCTTACCCAATGACGTCACAGCATGCTACGGCTTGGCACGGTGGCCTAATACTGCCTAATGCAGGAAACCTTAACCTTGAACGAAAACGCTACCGGTGACGCCAGAGCTCTGTTCGCACCCCGTTTATTTATCAGCAGACTTATGACGTCGGCGGTCGATTTACGTCACGGGACATGACGTCATCACTGCAAGCTACGTGCTACGTGAAAGAGACATATATGATGCTGTACTGACATTGGTGGCGCACATCAACAAAGCTCCCCTGCGCTGTTTTGTGTGTTTATTGTCTCACATAGGTATGTTGTGATTATATTCAGTTTTGAATATTGATTTTTTGTGTTATTTAATTTTATATGCTGTTTATTTGTTCAGCCATAGGTGACAGGCATAGAACGTTCATTTTCTATTTGTAAACGATTTTACCTGCGTTTTGGAGTACCTACTTCATAGAAGAGCATTTAGATTTAGTGTTTGATTGTGTCAGAATATGTGTGCTAAAATGCAATATTTTGCTTCATTAGATTTGCTGTCCCCTGAAGTTTGTAACGATTTAGGTACCTTCTTGAATACTTGGCCGCTCAATATTGTCATTTTATTTCCCAATTTATGTTCACAAATATTTATAATAAGTAGGTACTGTGTAGTGATACTTTTGCTGTTTCTTCCTTCAAATTATTGTTATTGCCTTGTGTTTTATCTTGGTACACCTATCCATGTAATTTTTTATCTTAAATATAGGAAGTTATTCCCAAGAAGGCACTGAATTCATAGCACTCGTACATGTGGTGATTGTTGGTGATGTGTATCCCGGACCGTGAAACTTGAAAGCCTATTTATATGCCACAATTTTTAATATTCAAGTTGATTTTTAATGATGAAATTAAAAAAAAGTTGTTCAGAACCTTGCACGGACTGGTTTACATATGGAATGATAAATAAACAGTTTTCATCAATCAAAACAAAAATATGGCACATGCCCATGAGAACATTTACTGCAGGTCTTTGACCATTTGCTGGAAAATGCCTTCCGCCAGCTGTCCGGTAATGTCTTCAGACCTGAGGCATCATCCTGTTATCACTCTGAATAGCTTGGTGAGGTTGCTGAAGGCCTCTATTACTGCTTCCTCTGAGGCTCTGACCCTGAGGTGCTTGAGCAATAAGCATTTTGGACTTTAAAGTAGAGAGTGAATTTTCTGATCCCTTGTTTTCTTGGCAGGTGATTTATCGCTGCTTAGGGCCAGCGGCCCATCGGACAGCCTTGAGAAGACCGCCGCACGCTGTTTGCAGTCCGTCGACCTCCTGTCTTCAACGGACGGACGCCCTCGGTCCCGCTCAGCAATTGACTGAAGCCTATCGCGCCGATATGCTCGCTCATCTTCCATCCTCGCCCTGCCTGATGGTTTCGACGACCTGGGCTGTGGTCCCTGAGGTTCGGAACCCGTCTCGCTGGCCTGCCAGCAGGAGGCCTGGCGCTCGTCGCAGACGAGCTCTGCAGTGTGGCCAGTGAACCTGATGCTTCACTGGCCACACTGCTGGCACTGATACTGCACATCGCACAGCTCGTTATATAACAATTGAACACATGTCAGGCGTGATTTATTTGTAGATATTTGTAAACAGCCTTTAATCTTTGGCATTGATTCGTTGTGTGACGTTGTTTTGTTCGCATGTGGCCATGTGGATAAGGCTACTGGCCAGTGGCCATAGCCTTATCCTTCTCGTTAAATTTGTTATCTGGAAATAAATGTTACCACTCACCATAAATGTGTTCTACATGGGCAATGACTAACTATTCTACTGTACATTTTACGGATGTCACATTTCATGGTGCTTCAGGATAGATATCACAAGCGTCGTACTTCTTTGTTACGTTGATGACGCACCTGTAACCGCAGGCAATAACAGCCGGACACAGGCTGACACGCGCTATTCACCGATGGGCATATGAACAGATGGGTGTCGTGATCGTGGGCATGGTACTGCCTAGACTCAGCAATAATTAGGGCATTTTTAATTCTCGCCGAACCTATCGGTTTTCTTCATCAGATGCCGTTTAGGGGGAGGGTAGATGGACTCTGCCGTCACCGCCCCTCGCCATTTCGGACTAAATTGCGACATTTCAGGGCCGTGCAGAGGTTCACTTACGACGTCCCAAGTCAGTAACCTGACCTGACCTAATAATGTGGTCGTTGTGAAGATCCGTCTTTAATGTTCAAGTGCGCCAGCTTTCATCTCTATACCAGCGCCTTCCGAGCAATTACCTTTAAAAAAAAACGTCGAGGGCGACACCCGAACCCCCTCTTCTCGGTGGCGAGGGCTAGGGGGTAGTGCTGTGCTGTGATGGCTGTGCTATTTGACTGTGCCATTCGAGCCCTACCAACACCTGTGATGAACCGACGCCCGGTGCGAAAGGAACATCGGCGTTCTCGGCCAGTAGCGGCGGAACACCTTCAATTAAGGGGGGGGGGGGCGGGGCACTGCCGACTTTTGGTCCCATTCTAAATTCTTTCCATGCAACGCCCATAGGGCTAATGTAAAAATGTCAAAATCAAAGGGGGCACGGTGCCCCGGTGCCCTCCCCATTCCGCCGCCTATGTTCTCGGCAAAGTTGCCAATGATTTGCAAAGTTTGAATGATTCACTGCATAATGCCAAGTCCTTTTGGCTCCTGCGAGATGTCGCTAGCGCGTTGATGAAGTTCAATATAGAGGTCACTAGCGTCGAGCCATGAAACCCAAGCTTACTTTCATGAAACCTACGCAGCTAACGGATGGGGCTGCAGACAAAAGTACGCCAAAAGTACGTCGTGACCGTGGTCTCCGCTGCTAAGCGACAATCAAAAGGGACATTGCTCAGCTTGTTTGGCGCACGTGTGACAGCGGCGCGGGGCGCGCCCAAATCGGCCGCGCCTTCGCTGCGGTTGGCCCACAGCGACCGCACGAACTCTGCGGTTATAACAGCAGCCTACGTCACACACTGTTGGCGCGACTCGAGCTCCTATTGGACAAATTCACGTGGTCTCCGTTGCTAGGCAACAATCTCGTCCATCAGCCAGCGTATGGATGGTGGCAGTCGTTTTGTAGTGTCGGTAACTTTTTTGTCTGCGTTTTAGATCACTTTGTAGCCCCAGAGAAAAGAAGAAATATCTCACTTTTGTGGTTGCCCATAGTAAGCGCACGGCAGCCTACGTCAGCAGCCTGCGTGCGTTTCTCGGCCTCTCATTGGTCAACAGCACAGTCCTATCTCTTCAACACAGTAGCCACCTAGTGGGCTGTTGGGGAAGCTGTTTTGACAGCAGCGGGCGAACAGAGCTCAGGGTTACCGATACCGTATATATTAGGTCCGAGTGGACAATTGTGACGCTGTTGATACAAATATGTAACAGCAAAAAATTTAGGATTTAGGTTAGGTTAGGTTGTAGGTTTGTAGGTTTTAGGTTAGGTTAGGTTGTAGGTTTGTAGGTTCTAGGTTTTAGGTTGGTAGGTTTTAGGTTGGTAGGTTTTAGGTTGTAGGTTGTAGGTTTGTAGGTAAATAGGTAAGGTTAGGTCAGGTTTGATTATGTTTTCCTTTTATTTCCAAGACATAAAGTATCATTTTTGGATTCAGGATGTCAAATAATGTAAGAATATGAAAACTTTATCTTAAACAGTCACTCGGACTCAATGTATACTTTTACCATAAAAAGTAGGCAACTACTGAATGAATATTGACATCAGTAAGTTCTCAGAATTCATATGTTTTCTATCAGCTATTTTTTCTGGCTTTCAAAATTAATGGGTGACTAGACTGAAAATAAACACAGTCAATATTTTGTCAGTAAAACTAGCCTCTGGTGGTAAATTTAAGGCCAGTTTTACTGGTATGAAACTTGTTGCCAGCTGATGTTTTAAGGTTTAGCCCATAGCCCACAAGTATGAGTCACTAAAATATAGCCACTGATAGTGATATGTGAGAATGTAAGGCATAAGCTAAGTAGTTTTACTTTTATTTTTAGCATCAAATCATTTTTTCATGTCAGGTGAAGCTTGTGGGTGACTATGAGGCCTAAAAATAACTGTAATATGAAACTTTTGTTTTGATATAGCTTACCTACCTCATGCCGATAATAATCCCTTTGGCCTTTTTTGCCCCAAGCATTCGCTATATGTTTGATCACCTTGGCTTTTTTGATAGTTCACAGTAGATCACTTTATCATTGGTTTACTATATCTCATCAATTTACCACTTATCAATTTGTGCTCAGGATCATAAAAGGACATGTAAACTGATGGCAAGGTGTTACTTATATTACAAGAGATATGCACAAAAGTATTTCAACCCTCCTGGACCTGGCATAGCATGCTCCCGCCCAATGATGTCATTATGAATTATTGCAATAGTAATGATAAAACTATACCATTTTAGTGCACATTTTCTGGTTTTGTGGAGTGGAATTAGGAAATGTGACAATCATTCTTGGCATTTGCCTTACATTGGCACAATTTGGCTGTTTTTGCATGTATTCTGTTTAAACAATGCCCACCTACCACTTTTTTAGATTCATGATGAAGTGCCACTACGAAGTGCTGGATGTGGAACGGACTGCCACTGATGAGGAACTCAAGAAGGCATACAGGAAGCTGGCCCTCAAATGGCATCCTGGTAGGCTGGCCCTCCACTATATTAACATAATGAATAATGACAATTCTAATTGATTTGGCTGAGACACAATTGATCCTTTTTTAAATGCAACAAGAAACAGGAATCCCTTCTACAGAGGAAATAGCATGCTAACTTCAAATGGGGACCGACGTGCTTTGGTATGACCTTTTGCTGGGCATTCACACTAATGTTCTCTTGCTGCTGCTATTTGCAGACAAGAACCCTGACCAAATCGAGGAGGCGACCGCCCAGTTTCGGCTGGTGCAGCAGGCCTACGAGGTGCTGAGTGACGCCCAGGAGCGGGCCTTTTACGACCGACACCGGGAGCAGATTCTGCGCGGCGGTAAGTCTGATGACGTGCGGCGGCGAGGCTCCGTATTCTGCGGTGGTTGGGTTTGACGCTTTACGGTGGTAAGATCGATCGATACACCAGCATCGATGGTGTACCACCATCGATGCTGTATGGTGGTACGACCTGATAGTAGTTAGGTAATGGTAGTGTCTTGTGCTTCACTGCATTAAAGTCTGATGGCACGTGGCAAGACAGTGATGTGATGTAACGTGGCATTACTGACGTAATACTGCAGAGTGGTGGGGTTAAGCACTGCAGTGGGTATTGTGTGAGCATGGGTCGGGTATGGACTAGGAATGACTTTATCTATGTTGGCGGTTTGGCGCAATTCTCACTGCATTCTGCCGTTGAGTTGTCCCGATGTGTTATTGCAGGGTTTGACAATGACTACAAGGACAACAGTCTGAACGTGTACCAGTACTTCACGGCGTCTTGCTACAGCGGTTACGGAGACGACGACAAGGGTTTCTATGCCGTTTACAGGTACAGAGACAGATAAAAGGGAATCTAAGCAGATAAAAGGGAATCTAAGCATTAGTTATCGTCTATAAAGTCTATGGGCTTAGGTCTAGGATACCAAATAATTTAGGGTACTTTTTCTTGTTTGAAAGAATATCAATTATCGATTGTGCGCAAATCTAACACTTATTATTTTCAGAGAGATTTTCAAGACGTTGGCTGCTGAGGATTCGGATTTCGCCAAAGATGGAGACAGTGATTTCGAGATTCCCGAATTCGGTAACAGCCAGAGTGTTTTTGAAGAGGTAAGTTGGCCTCGGAGACTCCGGTTTGTACCTATACCTACTTGTATTTCCTGATCATGTAAGTCTGCTTTTGAGTGTTTGGATTTGGAAGTTGGATGTTGCCATACAGAGGACAACATCGTCTCTTGGCCTAAATGGTATTTATTTGTCCTCTTCATGAAAGGAATGCCATTTCTCTCAAGTTAAATTGACATTCTTTGCATATTGGAATCCAGCCACACCAGTTTTGCTGTCTCACTGCTGGTCCTGACTGGTGACGGTGCCGGCGCTCGGCGAACTACCCTGTTCCTTTAGCCCTGTGTTCCTGAAACTGACCCTGTATCCTGTTCATACAGGTGGTGCAGCCGTTCTACGCGCACTGGCAGTCGTATTGTACCCGTAAAACGTACACATGGCTGGACAAGTACGACATACGACAGGGCCCCAACCGATGGACTGTGCGGCAGATGGAGAAGGAGAACAAGAAGATTCGCGACAAGGCGCGCAAGGAGCGCAATGAGGAGGTGAGAGTATTGTAATGAGACAATTCGTAGGTGTGGTCGGAACTTTGCACTGAGTGCTGTCTCACTTTGTACGCACTTTTTCTAGCTTCTTATGGCTAAGGCTGTGTATTATTATCTCCGCCTGCACATCAATGAAGGATCATGGAATGCATGGATGCTCATGAAGAACGGTCTAGCAGTGGACTGATCCTGTGCGGAATTTACTGACGCGAACATTTACTGAGCTGATGACGACTATGCCGTTGCCGCTTGCGGCGTTACTAGTGACTTGGTTACCAATGTAACACTACCAGTGACTCTGCCTCCCCTTTTCCGGTATCCAGGTGCGCGCGCTGGTGGCGTTCGTGCGGAAGCGAGACCGGCGCGTGGCGGCCCAGCAGCGCCGTCTGCAGGAGCGTGCTGCCGAGAACGCGCGGCGCGCTGAGGAGCAGCGGGACCAGCAGCGGCAGCAGCGGCTGCGGGAGATGGCAGACTACACGGAGGCCGAGTGGAGCCGCGCCGACCAGAGCCAGCTGCAGGTGAGCAGAGCTGACCAGAGCCAGCTGCAGGTTCGTCTAATGTGGATCGTCGTTGATCGATTTGATGTTATCTTCCACTCGTTTCTCGTGTTTTGGGTATTTTGCGATTAGATTTTGCGAACGGCCGCAGCCCGCGGCGCTGCCTGAGTACCGCCTCGGTCTGGTTTCAGCAAATGGAGGCGGCGATCGCGCGGGAGTTTGGTGAGGCGGTGTCTGACAGTGAGGACTCGAACAGCGAGCAGGAGGCCGAGGACGACCACCTTTACTGCCCCGCCTGCGACAAAGTCTTCAAAACAGACAAATCGTGAGTGTGCGCTGAGGAACGTATGGGAAAGTGTTGGAGCTTTCCGATTTGTCGTTGGTCTGGTAGGATGAGTTCTATTGTGTGTAACTACAATGATTCAATATAGTTTTTCTTCCAATTGTCTTCTGACTGTCTGTCCAATTGTCCAATTGTCTTCTGACTGTCTGTCCTACTGTCGCCAGGTTCAAGAACCACGAGGGCTCGAAGAAGCACCGCGACAACGTGGCGCGCCTGCGGGAGACACTGCTGGAGGAGGAGGAGAACCGGAACGGCGACACCGGGGCGGCGGTCAGCAGCGGGGAGGGCGACCGATCTCCCGGTGAGTGGGGACCGGCGACTAGAGCGGGCGACGGAGATATAACTGTCAGCTCTGTGATGTAGCGGTGTTACGAGGCACAGGTGTTACGTGTTACCGGTGATACTCTGCGACTTGTTTCCGTGAACGTGCATTTAAACAACGTATTGCGTGCTTTATGACTATGTACTGTATGCATTTGCACTATGCGTCATTGCACTCAAGTGAGTATAGTTGAAGCCGCTGACAGTTTGCTCTCTCCTAACAGCAACTTGCATCTTCCGTGCTGTTTCAGACGAGGGTCCGGCGCAACCCAGCTGTGCCAAGTCCAAGAAAAAGAAGCGTCAGAAGCGGCGGGCGGCGGCGGCTGTCGCCGACCCCGGCCTGAACATGTCCCGGGGCGCGGGCGGGGGTCTGTTCGCCGAGACGGCCGACCTGGCCGGGGACTCGGGCTCGGACGGCGAGGCACCGGACTCGGCCGATGACGCGGAGCTGGCGGCGGCCGCGGCGGCACTGCGGCTTCAGGAGCAGTCGGAGCAGCCGCAGGCGCCGCCCGCCGCGCCCCGGCTCAAGGGAAAGAAAGCCAAGGACGCGCGGAAAAAGGCCAGGGCGGAGCAGCAGCAGTCAGTTCCTTCCTAGGTGTGGTAGGGTCAGTGGCTGATCCAGAGAGAGAGAGAGAGAGAGAGAGAGAGAGAGAGAGAGAGAGAGAGAGAGAGAGAGAGAGAGAGAGCGAGAGAGAGAGCGAGAGAGAGCGAGAGAGGAGAGAGCGAGAGAGAGAGCGAAGAGAGAGCGAGAGAGAGAGCGAGAGAGAGAGCGAGAGAGCGAGAGAGAGCGAGAGAGAGAGCGAGAGAGAGAGAGAGCGAGAGAGAGAGAGCGAGAGAGAGAGAGCGAGAGAGAGCGAGAGAGAGAGCGAGAGAGCGAGAGAGCGAGGAGAGCGAGAGAAGAGACAGAGCGAGAGAGACGAGAGAGAGCGAGAGAAGAGAGAGCGAGAGAGAGAGCGAGAGAGAGAGAGAGCGAGAGACGAGAGAGAGCGAGAGAGAGAGACGATAGAGAGGCG